GAATTTTTTGTTTTTTTTGTTTGTTTTTTTTGTTTGTAATCCATGATCAAATTTTATGTAATCCATGATCGAATTTTATGTAATCCATGATTGAATTTTTTGAAAATTTGTGATTTTTTTTGTTTAATCCATGATCGAATTTTTTTTTGTAATCCATGATAGAATTTTTTGAAAATTTGTGATTTTTTTTTTAATCCATGATCGATTTTTTTGAAAATTTGTTTTTTTTTTTTTAATTCCATATTATTCAAAGAGAAAACGAGAGAGATGATGATTCTGAGGCCACACTATCCCAGCCATATTATTCACATATCGAGTCCCAACAGCAACAGTATAGGGATGAGCACGAAATACTGTAAATTAAATGCTGAATGGCGGTTCATGCAGGGAAAGAACATATCAATATTCGCATATTCATTCAAAAACATGAAAATTCTTAATGGAGTACCCTCATTTTTTATTGAATTCCTAAAAACCAATATTTATAATGAATTTTAATAATTTTTTCGGATTTTTTTGAAGCTTTATTCTGACCGATTCATCCGATTCCGATCCGGATCGCCGATTCGCCGATCCGGATCGGTTTTTGAAAAGCCCGATCCGGGTCACCGATCCGGTTTTTAAACCATTGGTTGCTGGTGATTATATCATCTCCATCAGTCTGTAAGTTACACATGCAGAGAATCAAAACGAAGATGTTGAATCATTGGCTACGTTTGGAGCCAAACCATCTAAGGCAACAATTTAGTGTGTTAGATTGTTTGATTTTATTGCTCTACTTATTTCATCAGATGCAACAAGTGCGTCATTCTAAAGGATTCTCTCCTAATTGTGTCATTCTCGTTTTTGAAAAGTTCATGTGCGGATAACAAATAAGTTGCGTTATTATATGGTCCGAAATTTGCATCATTTTTATGTTGAGGTATTCTTTTTTAAAACTTTTTTTATTTCAATTTTACGTCCGATTCGATGCTAGCAACATAAAAACCATGTTTTTCCATTTTTTTTGTTTTAGTTATAAATACGATGGTATGTAACCTTTGTAAATAGGATAGTATGTAATCTCTACACTCGAACTGCCCTCTTTCGGGGTGGTTCAAAAGTAGCAATTCCGAACCATCCCTCACAAAAACATTTCCCAAGTATGATGTGGTACGAAGTTCTTACCTTTGGACTGCTGCACACTTCAAAATCCTTTTGAGCATGAAAACAGATCGAGATTGCCACTTCGAAGCACTATGTACTAAGAAATTTTTTTAAGTATGGAGCGGTTTGATCCGCTTAATACTTTCAAATTCCTTTAACTATGGAATAGTTCGAAGTTGCTAGTTTTGAACCGCTCCATAACTTTAAGCTTTATTTTTAGGTCTATAGCGGTTTGAAGGTGCCAAACTCCAACTACTTCATACTTAAAAAGACAAGTATTAAGTTACTAATTTTGTACCGCCCAAGAATTGGTTGTTTCTTGTCACCTTATTTATAACCAAAACCATAAATGTGCAAAAATATGGTTTGTTGTATGTTACTAACATGGAATTCGTTGTCAAATGGGAATAAATAAAAATATAAAAAGAGGTTTACAATGTAAAATGATTTATATTTTGGACTATATATTAAGGCCACCACTTATCTCTGATCACATAAATTTTTGTTTTAAAGTTTGGATGATGATGATGATGATTGAGTAATATAACGTTCTCTCAAAAAGAAATTATGGGGTTTACTCCACGAGAAAGAGCTTGTTATTGTAAAAATCCTTTTTTTTTTTTGCCCTTCTTGGAGTAAATGACATATTTCTTGAAAAACAATTAAAAAATCAACATACATTATTCCAGTATTGGAAAAACCTTGTCCAATATATGTTTGAGATGCCCCATGTTATGGAAACTTTTTCTATAAAATAGGTAGTGAAGAGAAAAAATAAAAGTAAAAATTTGTGGTAAATAGGTTGATTTCTAAAGTTGTTTATCGAAAAGTATTTAGTTAGTAAAAAAAAACCTCTTCAAAGATGGATTTTGGATCCAAAATTTTGAAATTTGTTAATCTCTATTTTTTAAATATATATATATATTTAAAAATAAAAATAATATTTTTTAATATATTTTTCTACCATTGTGTCAACTTCTTTTGACGTCACTATAAAATGGATGTCTGATACATTCGTAGACACACGTGTCCCTCACCAAAACCGTGTCCATTTATTTTTATTGCAATAACTTCAGCATTTTATCGCAATTTCCATTTCTTTATCTCCCCTTTCATTGGCATCTCTACCTATCTTTCACTCTTCCCCCTCCCCCCTTCTCTCGTCTCATTTGTATTCTCTCTCTCTGTCAATTGTCATCTCTTATTTTGTTTCACGACTTTTCAGATCTCTCTCTGCTAAAATGGTTGCATTCAGCGGTGACGAAACCGCTCCATTCTTCGGCTTCCTTGGAGCCGCTGCTGCCCTGGTCTTCTCCTGTAAATCGCTTTCTCTCTTTTTTAGTTTCTCTCTCTGAGGGTTTCAATCCTTTTTTCTCTGTTTTAATGGATTCTAGGGTTTGACTATTTCAGGCATGGGAGCAGCTTATGGAACAGCCAAGAGTGGGGTTGGTGTGGCATCCATGGGTGTGATGAGGCCTGAACTTGTGATGAAATCTATTGTACCAGTGGTTATGGCTGGTGTTTTGGGTATCTATGGCCTAATTATTGCAGTGATTATAAGTACAGGTATAAACCCTAAGGCAAAGCCCTACTATTTGTTTGATGGCTATGCCCATCTCTCCTCTGGTCTTGCTTGTGGCCTTGCTGGTCTCTCTGCTGGTATGGCAATTGGAGTTGTTGGTGATGCCGGTGTCAGGTATACTGTTTTTTCAGATCTGTTTATATTTTTTATTTTTCAATTCATTTTGGTGCTATGATTTATGTAGATCTAGTTTTTTTTTCCTCAGGAGAATTCACTTTCGCTGTATGTGATCTATGGATTTGATGGTATAGATGTGCTATAATGTATGCTTAGGTTTGATTGAGTTTGATTCTTCCTCGTTTGCTTGATTCATGGCTCTCTGAGTAAGAGGTGGGATTTTATTGGGTTTTTATCATTGGAGATGGTGTTTGAGATGTGCAGTTAATTTAGTTTTTTGGTAGAGTTATAGAAAAATAAAGTCTAGTAGGTTGGTTATTTCTGTTGATATTGTGCTTGTTATTGAGGGAACAAAATGGTGAAATGGTTGATGCAGGTGAAATTAGCATTTTGTTGGTTTATCCTGGATGTTGATCTATTGCTTGCTGGTGTTTTGGATCGACTTCTGGTTCGATGAGATGTTAATTAATTTTTTGGTTGAATTATAAAAAAATAAAGTCTTGTAGGTTGACTATTTCTGTTGATATTGTGGTTGTTATTGGTGCATAAAATGGTGCGATAGTTGATGCAGGTGAAATTAGCATTTTGTTGGTTTATCCTGGATGTTGATCTATTGCTTGCTGGTGTTTTGGATCCACTTCTCGTTTGAGGGGGTTGTGTTTCAGTTTCTCTTTATTGATGATTTGTTGAGTTTTTTACTATGGTAATGCTGGTTTATTATAAGTATTTTTGTTTATTGTTTTTTTCTGATGATGCAAACTGAATTGCGAGAATAGGTAGGTAGATGATTTGCGGACTTCAGATCATGGGTCATGCTCCTTAAACTTCATGTTTGGTGCTTGGAGTTGTTGGGATTTGTATTGCTAGCATGATTTAGAAAGTGGGTGTATTTTGTTTTCATTTGTTCATCATATCTTTTTCTGCTTTCATGATACAATAAATAATCAATGGGGGCTCGTAAGGTTGATACCAATGTGATTCTTTGTTTTGAATATTTAGTTGTCTTACTTTCGAAGATGCAATCAGTTATACTGGGGTTCCCAGTACAGCAGACCCTTGTTATGTTCTAGAAACAAGTCCGATCCCATTCTCCAAAATTGTGGAAAATGCATCTCCTCTTTTTTACATCACTTATCCATGCTATTACACAAGCTTTTGCATATTCTAGGCATGTTTCAACCATACATCCTTTCATGTTCTGGTTTCTTTCGTTAATTTTCTCTGTATTTTCCAAAAACTGATTCCCATGAATTTTGGGAGTTCTCTTAGCCCATGTTTTGGTGCATAGAATTGTAGCCAAAGCATTATTTTCTATTACACCCCTTAAGTAGTGGCTGCATGTTGCTCACCCCTGTGCTTGGGTGAGCTTGCACTTTGGAATCCCCAAAATGCCTCTGAATTGCCCCTATCATACAAAATTTAAAAACTTGTATTTCCTCTATTCTCGTGAAAGAGGGACTTCTTTTATATGTTTATAGAAGATTGTAATTTCAAGGTTGCTACTAATGATGTGGCTGCAATAGTAGCTAATGATATTTCTTTGATATGACTACTGTGACATCCATGTGAGGCCTTAATGTTCCTTAGCACCAATTTTATCAATTTGATTTCTTAAGCGATTCCCTCCATACGTATGCTTATGATCTAGTAACACATGGAAGTGGGTGGATCTTTTTTGGCGATCCAGTGGCTGAATAAGTTACTTTGACTTGGATAACTTATGTTCTGGAAAATGATGTTTCTTTCTGTTTAGTGTTTTTTTGGTGTGTATATGCTTCATATGCTACGGGTTGCTGTGAGTTTCTAACGGAGTTAGATTTCTCTAAGGATCATTGGTGTAAGCTACTAGTTTATTGATGCAAATACCCTTTGTTCCATAATATTGGCAGTTGACATGTATTAGGTTATGCATGTATATGGAAGTAATTCATGGAAATTCAATGTTGTAAAGGCGATCCCAAACTCTTCTTGCTGTTTCTGTCTTTTATAACTTCCTATGAACTGATTAACGAACTGGTTAAGCAGTCAGCATCTGTATTTTGTGAGTGTACACATATCCATGTGTTAATTTTACTATGAAAATCAATTATGTTCTATGGCCAATACGTCTACAAATAAGTCTATATTGTTGATTTGGAATTTGGTGTGTTCCAAAATACTGTCCTTTATAGCATCATTTGAACTGATTGACAAACTCATTCAGTAGTCAGCATCCATATTTTCGAGTTCAGACATGTTAATTTTACTATGGCATTGAATTATGTGATTTTATTACAGGTGCTACTTCTACAAAGAGGTTCTGGACTGTTTGGAATGTGCTGTGTTCCAAAATGACTTTGTATTGAATTTGACCGATGCTCTCCGTCTGCTCTTTTTATATAGGAATAAAACTATCTAAAGTCAATTATTTTCATATCCATGGCTGTTAGCTGTAGTTCATCCAAAATCTTGACTTTTGTGTGTTTTTGTGTGCTTGTGTCTATAAATACAAAGGTTCTTGTTAGAATGAATTTTAATGAGGTATCTTCACTGAAAGTCATTGCTTTTGGTAAAAAGTTACTTGTATATGTAACCTAATCACTGAGGAAGGATACATTTGAAAATTTTCACAGATGTACCATGGCATTGAAAGTAAGCATTTTGGAACTTTGTTTGTAAAATACCCTTATCCTTTGAAATTTTCATCCATGTCTATATATAGATGGCAAAACTATCCTGTCTTCAGTGATAAGTACACATGTACCTTCCTTCGTAACAAAGCAACCCACAAATAATAACTTTTAGCAAAAAAAACCACATATGTGGTAAATCCACCTTTAACAACCCATACTAACCTCAGCTTTTATTTTTTGAGGGGTTGTTAAGCTTAGATTATCCCCATATTATTGATTGCAATGATCATGGCCCTTTACTTTAACATTACTGTTTCTGGGGGATATTATTAGTATTGTTATTTTATTTTATTTATTGAGCCCCATGCCTTTGGGGCTTACTTCTTTTACTTTGTCATTGCACATACGTGTCTATGCACTATGCATGTGTATTCCTGCCTGTAGACACTTGTGTGGTTTAGTTGCTTCTTAGATATTCCCTTGGAACAGAAAAGATAAACTGCCTGAAACATGGGACTCCTTGATGATTATGAATCAAGCTACAATTTTGAATGTCATCCTAAAGTATGCCTATTTTGAAGTATTCATGCATGAGTCCGAAATGCCCAAAATTGTGATGCAAATGGTTTTCTGATGTAATCTTGTCTGACTGATCACTCACCAATCGAAAGAGCCGAAGTTTGGGTAAAGAAAACAGAGGAGCCATGTTTTGAGTCTTTGATTGGTTTGACTGATATGACAGGCTGGTTTAATTGGTCCTATTGATCTGGTTCAAAACATTCCTGATGGTTTAAAATGGTTTTGGGATATCTTTGTTCCTCATCAGTTTATACCTGAGAGCAGGATTGTTCTTGTTGCAACGAATGTTATCGATTAAGGGTGTTCATGGGTGTGTACCACCTAGTGTCATCCAGAAAAGTCCAGTTATATGATGAATTTATCTGGTCTTTTGAAAATTTCCTTTTATGCTGAGTCCATTTGTGCTAGAGAAGCTATTCTGCATGCCTTAAAACGATTGAGTTGTAGTAAGATTGGCACAAGGCAATTCACATGTACTGTCAAAGTTTCCTTGATATTGATAAATTTTCAATCGTTCAACTTCTAAGAGGCATGGCTCATGAATTATGGAGCATTCTTGCAGATCTAACATAATTTGTTTCAATATATGCACAATCTTTTGGAGATAAAATGTTTAATGCATAAGTGTGGATATAGACACAGATGCAACAAACGGCTTTTATCATTGGATGCATGTTTTTGACGTACCAGAATGGATGTGACACCCATTTTCATGTGGCTATGCATCAATGTCTTGTCTACTGCAACCCAGCTATTGTGTGAAATTGTAAAGAACGTGTTGGGAATCACTCATGCCCATTGTGACAGGAATCACATCTGAAATAAATTAGGAATCTAGTTGGTGCATATGAGGTAGGATTTGATTTCTGAAGGTGTTTCTTATGTTAATTGCCACTCAGGATTGGGGCATCTGGTTGGGTGCCTCAGAGTTGATGCTCCCTTGTCATAATGCCTTATTTTTTATGCTTCCATCTTATTTCTTCTGACAGAAAATACACATTCTGTTCACGGTTTGCCTCTGGATTTTTTGCTCTTTCTTAAGAGACAATGTTTGAGTTTGTTTGATATCGTAGGCATGGCTGATCTAGAGCTAAGATGTGCTGCATGAGATGCTGTATTAAAATCATTTGCTATGGATGATTAATTAGAAAAAAACTGTGAATTTGGTGACTGTGAGATCGAATAGGTTCATGCAATACTTCCCAAAGTTGGTAGTTCTTATTTTCAGGTATAACAAAAGGCTACAGATTTGTATACCCCAATTTGGTGTTAGTTGAAGTTTCTGTTTTCTCCGTTGTGTGAATTAGGAACAGAGAATGTACATCTAGGACGCGTGGGGTTGTTTGGTCTATGTTTTATCATCCCGTTTTACTTGTAACCCCATTGCACTAAACCTCTCTCTGTAACCCCATTGCACAAAACCTCTCTCTCTCTCTCTCTCTCTCTCTCTCTCACACACACACACCACCACACAT